AATGTTAATAACAATTAACACAACTAGTCTTAAACTTCAGCTACAAATTCTGGTAACATGGCGATATACAGTATAGTAATGACAAACACAAACTAATTACATTAACACACTAACTCAAAACCACATTTCGATTCAAATATAAATTTTAAAATGTACAACTTCTATATTTCCAAGAAAAAAAATATTACAATGGAAGTTAAGATGATTTTTATCCACTATTTGCAAACCCTGTCTAATTGTCCTAACAGTTAGAACCAGAAGCCTATTATTTTCAGTGTCCAGATCTCCTGGCCCCCTGCCTTGCATATGCATTCTTCAAGTAACGCATTGCGTGCTCCTTTATTTCTTTTTCGGTTGATGTAGGGTGGGACTTCAGCACCGCAGCTAGGAGAAAATTATATAATATTACTTCCTAAATAAATGATGATTAATATCTTCTTTAGTATAATCTAAAAAATGAACGGTTTACTAAGCTCAAAGCTGAAATAAACGTATAAAATTTGGCTTGCACCATAGCAGTTGAGCAATAAAGAGTCCTAATTAAAGAGTACCCAAAGTTTGAAAGTACAGTACAACACAGATTAAGAATAATTAGAGAAATGGCAAAACGATTTTGTGTCATCTTCCCCATTCACACTATTTTTATGTGCCATTTTTTGCTTATTCACATACTATTTTAATCAAAATAATATTAAGAAAGATCTGTATGTATTCAGATAGTATTATTATTATTCATACTTACTCGTCAAAAGAGGATTGCTGAGATATTTGCGGATAAATACTTCAATCTTCTACGTTTGAAAAACATATCCAAAATGGTGACCAACGAATACTAGCAATGCATTGTGGTATATAACCGGAAAATGGGTTAGATATTTTAACGGATGCGTTTATTAATGTTGTCGATATTATGGTTGAAATTTAACACTGATAATACATCGCGGCTATCTGCCCCCTGCTATGTGCTGATGTGCAATTTTAACGCATGCAGTTAGTAAGGATCGGTTACTGTTTTATGGTATTATATATAATGACATTATGGAATAGGATGGGGACAGGCCTGGCATCACGGGGGGAGGGAGGAGTGTCACTCCTTCAGTTTTGGGCAAAAAGATTTACCTTGCTTAATTTATGCCCTAAAAAAATAGTTGTACTTTGTCAATGGTCAGACAACACTAATTGACACTAACAGTCACTCGGACTGTTTGATGTGCAGGAGGGCTATCCGTCCAGGAACTGCACATATCAGTGTCATTATTGAGTGTCAACATTACGGTCCTGTTTGCTCAGGTGGACCGATTCCTTGCAGTAGTTTATCATTATACTTAAAATCGTTATATAACTAGGACTAGTTATAGCAGTCTGTGCTTTCTGTTGGTTTTACAACAATTTTTTCTTAATGATTCAGAACCTCCATCGATGTAGCTGCAAAAATGAACTCTTATGGTACTTTTTGCTCCTTGCAATACAAACCACGAGAGTGACGAAAAATGTAAAACTGAACTTCATTGCAAATACCAGTAATTAATTTATTTTTTATATTTATTACTATATTTATTATACACGTGTAAATAAATTAATTACTGCGAGAATAATTTACTTCGTACACTGTGCAGAGTGCCGTATACTCCTAGTTGCGGCACACACGATACATACAGTAAAAAGCCTCAGGCACTGTGTTAGATGTGTTTTCGACGTTATACTGTATATGCGTTTATTAATGTCGTCGATTTTACGGTTGCAATTCGACGTTGATTATACGTCACGGCGACGTATATATACGTATAGCTGTATTTTTGCCGTGAATATACGTATATTCAACGAATCACTGCCCACTGGGCAAGAACCGTGTGTCTATGATTATCAGCTGTTAGTCAGACATTGAGGTCCAGATGTAAGGGTGCCACCTACTGGTGCTGCGCTAACACCACTTGCAGCAGCCTGGACTTATATTTTTTCGGATTATTTTTTACATTGTTTATTTCACTAAGTCATCTACTGTACAACGGTTTTCTCTGAAGTCAAATGTGTTTTGTTTTTTTAAAAAAGCAGAAAAAAAATAGCTTCTTGATTTCCAGTGAAAAAGAACAAATGTCTTAACATGGTCTCTTAAATAAACCTACTAAGATCTTTCTGGTACTTTACAAATTCATTATTTTCTAACAGTTTCATTCTTAAAAAAACAAGTAGTGGCAAATGCTTTATGTACAGTATATAGCCCTAGCAGAGAGCAAACAAACTTACACCAACACATTGATCACATCTTTGATGTTTCACCTCTGGTGTCTGAGATTGAGTTAAGTAGGAAGCCACTTAACACAGCGGTTTATGTCCAGAGCATTGTTTGAAAATGAAAACATAATTTATAGCCTAGTAATTGTGCATTCTTCTCATGTCTTCTTTGGAAATTGAATACAAGAAGAATTTTAGGGGTTTAAAATAACATAGAATAACAAGTAAGATAAGATAAGATAATACCAACTTTTCATAATGCAGTAAAAATGAAGTTCATAACTACATCTTTTTTTAAGTTATGTGCCAGTCTTTTTTTTTGTAGCAGACTAATAGACTACTGTACATTTCAATTATGCATGTTGTACCTTTCTTTCTGTGTCCAGAAGCTGATAACTGATAGCAACAATATTGTATGTCTTTGTTTAAAAGTAAATATAGGTAATATAATAGAAATATTAAACCTGTTTTTTTTTAGTAATTTCACTGAAATGACTTATCTTTTAAAACTATGTAGCTGTTGTTATTTATTGTCAGATTTTACTATAATTCAACCTTAGGCTTTATGTATCATTGTACGTAACCATTTTTTCTTATAAAAAAATAATAGTAATAGACCAAATGATTGTGTGACATTTAGGTACAAAATGGTCATTAATCACAACTGGCTTTTTTATTTTCAGAGAAGGGAATCGGCACCTCTCTCCAAAAAAGCCAACAACACTTTCAATATAGTGGGGACAACCTATGCCATCAACATTGCAAAAGATCCAGGATTATCGACCATCTCAAAGAGTGCTGCAGCTCCTGCAAAAATGCCAAAGTTGGAAGAAAGGATCATCGAAAGCAAGAAAACATACAACAGTGTCAGTAAAGTGGATAAGATGTCCCGCATTATATTCCCTGTGCTTTTTGCAATTTTTAATTTAGTGTATTGGGCAACGTATGTCAATAGGGAACCCATTATAAAAGGCTCAAACCCCAAAAAGTGAATGAGCCTAACAACTGCCCGCTCAAGAGAATTCAAGACCAAGTGTTGTCAATTAAATGCTATAATATATTTATTTAGGTTTATTTTTATATTCACAATGAAATGCATGAGTTTTGTTTCTACATTTATTTATTTTATTTACTATATGAAACACTGCAGATTGTTTTCTTCCTCTTTGCGCATATGACTCCAGTCACGTCAAAATTAGACAAGTAGGGAAAGGCAAAGCTAGTTATTTCCTAGCACCTTGCTTTGCTCATTGGAAACAATTGTTTTTTTTAAGATCTGTCAAAGATTCATTATACTGTATGAAAAGACAGGCACACTACTGTTTATACTCTTAATTGTATGGTGATTTACTTTGGACAATTTAGAACTAATATAACCTTTTTCTCAAGTAAAACATAGGAATATTAGTGCAACAGAAGACTCCTAAGCATTGTCTGAGTATTCACACATGATGTTCAGCAGCAATAGCAAGCACATAGAATGCTGGAAAAATATTAATAAATGTTATCCATCTTCTGAACTGTCGTTATACAACATCATGACTTCTGATAGGATATTTTAAATCTGCCTGTACACATTGTAGTTCAGTGTGTACTTTTACAGCCTGAACACATGCAATTAGAAGAACAAGGTGCCTTTCTTCCTTCATCAAGATAGAACATTGGAACATGCTTTTGTCCTAAAGGTATGCATATGGCTATGTCTTATTGTTTTGAATAATTTGTCAATCTCTACAGTCTTCTAAGTATCCAGAAAACAAGGGCATAAAACAAATCCAAGTAAATAAAAACAAGCAACATTTTGTGGCACAACACTCAGAGAAAGCATTGGTTTGGCACAAGCTGGCCTGTCACACAGAAAGAAAGTTTTAAGAGTGATCTTGTACTACATACAGCTCACTGGCTGCTGTGCTATAGATGCATTTTAATGAACAATGGCACTTTACTTGGCACTTAAAATGTAAAAAGAGATATCTCTATTGTTACTTTTAATCCATTTGTCTTTTATATACCAATATACCATTGACTGAAAGGATCTCTAAGACATAATTTCATGCATAGGTCAACCCTGTTAGGTACAGTACTGGTATGTACTGTAAGAACACTGAAAATATAATTTGCTTATTGTTTTCACTTGAATAACTTATTATTTATTTGAAGACAACACTTGACCTTGGCCCATTCTTCCCACTACCGGGAAACTGCGAACAATCCCACACAGTAAATGAATTAGGAGGGCATTTTGCAGAGAGCTTGCCCATTTGTACTTTAGGATCTTTATTTTTATTTTCTGTTATATTTTACTATAACAAAACTGTGATTTCTGTTCAAAAGGAGTATGCCTGTCCATTGTATGTTTTTTGTCCCTGTATATCTTTTTGTTCATTTTTGTTTTTCTTGTTTTTGGAGAATGATTTGTTTTTCTAGGTTGCATGTTGTAAAGCTAGTAAAGGACTTAGCTTAACACTGGATACTTTGACCAATGCCCAGCTGTGATTAGACTACAAAATTGTTAGAAGAACAAGATATGTGGTGTATTATCAACATTGGTTCTGATTCTGGTAATTTATGTTGTGTTTCATAGAATGTGGTTTGCCTTAAATTATTTACAAGTTAGGAAACTGTTGGACAAAGATATTGGCACACTTCAAATTTCTTGTGAGGGACTTGCACCAAATTGGTTATAGAAGCACTTAAGATAGCTCTAACAAATGTGAGTGTTTTTTTATAGTCTTATTAAATCACACAGGCAGTATGAGCATTACAGCTTAAAGTCAATTATATAAAGCTGAAAAGGTTGTAAAACAGCATTTGGCTCAATTAAGTTAAAGTATTGTAAAACTGTGAATTTGTCCCAAACTTAGTTTGAAACTTCAAATTGTTTCAGACTTCTAATCATTTTGACCATTTTGAATAAGGCAAGACATGCAGTACAGTATTTCCATACTCATTAGACAATTCATAAATACATCTATCAAATTCAGTAAAAATGCTAAAAAGAGGTCATTATTAAAATTATATTATACAAAATGTTAAGATTTAGTATAAAAACTTAATTTATATAAAATATGAAATGCCAGGAAAATGACAGAAAATGTTTAATTCAAGTTTCATTCATTTTCAGAATAGTACATGTTGTGATCATAAAAGCCAAAGTATCCAGTTAATGTTATTGTTATTCTTTCCTTTTAATGACAGACAAGAAATGCCTTTTGAGGGCTAAAGAGAATTCTGGGACTGCCTTATTTCAAGACAGGCTTTTTTGTAACCATTTAGATATGTATAAAATATTTTAAAAAAGACAAAAAAAAAGGTACATTAAACAATGAAAACAAAACCATTTTCCCAGCAGCTGGTTAATGCATGACAATCCTTATCACTTTTGTATCTGTAAATAGTGCTGTTGTCATGTTCAATATTGAGGCTTGATGTTCTTTGTTCTTGTTCTGCATATTTCTCTGGGTTGTCTTTCCTTCCTTAATACTGGATATGAGTGATCTTTTTAAGCTTGTGACTGGAGCAAAATGAAGTTGTTCTTTTTAATGTTAAAATGCAAGCAACTACAACAGATATAATAATTGATATATATTAAAGTATCAATACACATTACAATGCTTTCCTTAAATGGTAGAATATCCTGCTTTGGATAGGTAGACATTAGAGCTAATCATTTTACATATTTACACAAAGGGATTGCTACAATTTACTGTAGTATCATTATGTGGCCACTAGGTAGACCAGGCTACAGGATGCCTGTTATATTTTCATAGTAACAGTACCAAAAATGGAGCTGTGCTACAGTATGTTTCTTTCTCTAATATTTAATTATTCCTGTGCCTGGAAAATACACTACTAGTTTCAAACAAACTTTGTGCATATAATCTATGTACTGTAATTCTTATAGAAAACAGTTAATCTTATATAGACCTTAACAGTGATGGCACTAGAAGCATCCTTAAATAAAATAATGTAATTTGAAAATAGTCAGCAACAAAATGAATATTCATATGTATACTATTAAATGTTTCCAACTCTTTTATAAGGGATAATGCATTTGAAAGTCTGCTTTTAAATTTGGAAACCAAAGCTTGAGGGGTGTTTCACTGCAATTTCAGCAATGTATTGCTTAGCCTAATTGTAATGTAAAATCAGCTAATATATCCTTTTACCAGCTTAGCCTGTTCATCTGGTTTAAATAAATAAATAGTGGAAACTTATTTTCAAAAGGAATATCAATCAGGCTTTCTACATCTTCATGTTGGCTGTACCACTGTGCTCCATTTACCTTTTTTAACCATTGATTTTAGGTTGCACCTGAAAACACCTTATTATTAGAAGTATTTGTGTTCTCTGTCTACTCTGTATCTTGTTAAGGTTTTGAAACATTGCTAAATGAAAAGTCTAAAATGTCTCCATGTGCTTTGAATGCTGTCTTAAAAAACTGTATGTGGCAAGTAAGATATTACTTGGTTAGTGTCATTGTTGTGATTGGTTATGCTAAAAATGAATAATATTTTCTGCATTTGAACCTTATCTGATTATCCAGGAAATAACCAATGATAGCTGGATTAAAAGGACATTCCATTTTTAAAGCAACTATAATTTTAAAAGAAAAAAGCTGCCAATGTTCGGTTATTGTACTTATATACCCATAAGGAAGAGAAATGTAAAAGAGACATATAGTGAAGAGTATATTTTAGGTATTAATTGTAATATAAAAATGGCTGGGTAATATATTTAAATTCACTTGAAAGTATTAAATGCATCCGAAAACATTTCAAAATAATTTATGTTCAGGCACACATGACAAAAACAGTCACAATATTTTTATTAGTATTTCTTTTCCAAATGGGTACAACAGGTTAGTTTTTTTTTGTATTAATCTTGTGGCTCTTCGTTGTTTTGTGCAATGTGAATCATGCTTAAGAATATGGTTGAATTTCTCGTTTTGTGGGATTACACTGTGATTCAAAGTGATGTTGGTGGTTGATATACAGTACTGGCAGAACATTAGGGGATAAAAAAGAGTCTGCAGACTACCGTAAACTGTAAAAGAAAGGTAATAATCGTGAACCTCAATGTGAAAGTATTGTGTTGTTCTTGCAATGAAATGAGCAAACTATACAAAAAAGCGATGCAACAAAAACATTTATAAATACAGCTTTATATTCAGTGGGATAGTGGCTCAGATAATGTGGAAACTAGCATAAAGCTAAACTGCTTTCATGACATGTCATAGACAACAAAATGCAGTTTTATGTTTGAACTGTTAATCATGTACTACTTCTACTATGCATCTCAATAAATGCCAAACTCTTTGCAGTGCCAAATGACCTTTGAAATCACTGTAGAATAAAAAATCTTCCCTGAGGACAGATTTATGGACATGTGCTAATTGTCTGTCATTTCTAACCACAGTATTTAGTGTCAAATTATGTAAAAGATTACTCAGAACATTTTTTTTATTATTCTAGGCAAAACTACTTGCAACAGGACATTTCTCTCCTGTTTTGCCAGTTAAATATTAAAAATTAAAAAGGGTTATGAATCTATATTTTATTTTTTGATAATGTTCTACAAAGGCAGTTTCATTGTGCAATTACTTTATTGAATACTAAAGATAAATGTACATCGACTAATATTTATGTTATACTTTTCCATATAATTTTTCTTCTTTTAATGACTATGAACAATTATAGGAGTTATACTTATGTTATAATAATAATAATAATAACTTACACTTATATAGCACCAAATTTGGCCAGGACACCAGGGTTACATCCGTACTCTATTTGAGAAACACCCTGGGATTTTTAATGACCACAGAGAGTCAGGACCTCGGTTTTACGTCTCATCCAAAGGACAGCGCCTGTTTACAGTATGATGTCCCCGTCACTATACTGGGGCATTAGAACCCACATGGACCGCAGGGTGAGTGCCCCCTGTTGGCCCCACTAGCACCTCTTCCAGCAGCAACCTTGGTTTTTCCCAGGAGGTCTCCCATCCAGGTACCAAACAGGCTCATACCTGTTTAGCTTCAGTGGGTTGCCAGTTGTGAGTTGCAGAGTGATATGGCTGCTGGCTAGAGGAAGCTATTGTCATTTTTTATAGACCTGGATGACATACACAATGCTAAAAAATTGGGGATGTACATTGCTTTCTTTTGCATTGGTTCCTTACGGTACTTCACCTGCAACTGTCATGTAAAATCCTATTCAGGCTATTATTTTAATGAAAGCAAATTACACTCTGAAAGAGCTTTTATTACAGTTGTGATTCAAATCAGGCAATGTGCAGCATGCTTAGAAACTTAACCTGCTTTAAACTGGACTGTCAGAAGCTTTGATATCCCTTTGGTGTAATTCAGAAAATAAAGAATGCCCACCTCACCAACATTTCAGCAGTTGTTTGAATGTTTTATGCAGCCCATTGTAAGTGATGTTTTTGTAATCACGTTGTGTTGCAGTATCAGATTATAATGTTACAATGTCATATTGTCTTAAACAAGTAGCACAGGAGAAACTTTCATTTTAAGTGTCAATATCTTTAAGGTTTGTGTCTCGTTCATTTGTGGAGTTAAAGATTGTGAAAAATGTTTTTTGTTTCACTCGTATCACATTTTCTTTTAATAAAATGAAGATACTTTCATTAATTGTATATGTGTATGAATTATATAATGTAACTAAATTGTACCTACGTATAACAGTATGTTTCATATTTCATTTGTGCTCTTGGCCAGAAATATATAAAAAATGAACAATGATGTTTGGGAAAGTAGATTTTCAGAAACTTTAGATTTTGTTTCAAATGATTAATATAGTCTGCATTTAACTTTTTGTAATGGAATTTATTAGCACTACTTTATTTCCCTTAACACATTTCTTTGAGCACTAGCCTGTTCCATCCAGTCTCCCTGGTTATCTAGTATACAGTATCTTGTATATGGAAGTCAGTCAGAAGATACTGCCAAGCTAGCAAGTCCAAGAAACGTGAAGTTCAATTATCAATTCCTCTGAATTATGTCTGACATCAAAAAAGTTTGCTTTCTTGCCATTCCCAACAGGCCTGACCAATGTATTGTTATTATTATTCCAAATACAAAATCTGTCAGAAAAAAATGGTACATTATGATAATACAAATGAGGCTGCAATTTTACAATTACAAAAAGCAATTTCTTTATGTGTCAGGGTACCAATATAAAAATGTCTGACTTCCTCATTTTAAAGTGTATTTTTAAAATTAAACTCATTTCTTAGTGAAGCATTTTAGTGTAAAGATGTGGGCTGACTAAAAGCACAAAGGTGATACAAATAATCCTTTTATACCTGGGTTTTAGGGTGGCCCTAGGCTGCCTCAAGGTTACATTTTCCTGAATGTAAACATTCCCAAAATGAAAAGGCAGCCCTGGGCCAACCTAAATAGGACTGGAAACACAAGGGTCTGTAGATTAATGGAGCCTGTTAACTTCAACTTCAATTCACCAGTAGCATTAAACCTGCACAGAACAAAGGATTATAAGTTCAAGAGCAACAAGAAGTCAGGAGTGAAGCAGATCTAAAAAAATCAATGAAAGCAGAAATGATACTTAACCAGTATGCTCTAGTAATAAAGACTGAAGTACTGTAAGTGGCATCCATGAGCGGCTAGTGGTCAACAACTGTGAGTGGAACATTTAATAATTTTTCCATATAAAAAAATGTAAATGTTCAAGATTGGGTTGGAGTGCTTTTGAAGAATAACTGTGATGCTAAAGGCACAAGTGGCTTTGTGCCTTAAAGATTTTGACAAATGTGTGCTGCCTGTTCTAACACATGGATATAAATTAGAAACCCTGAATGTGAAATTGTACAAAACCTACTGTACCAATGACTGTAAGGAGCTCCTCATAAACGGGAACTCAAAGGCTGAAAAGTATACATTTTTGTTTATGAAAGATGATGTCATTTTAAAGAGTTCATTTTAATGGTTAGGGCAAACTCAAAGGCATTTACATTGTCAGAATATAGTAAAGTTACACTAACCAAATACTGTAAAATAGTGGTAAAAAGAGTATAAAT